CTTCCTGCAGCCAATCAGAAGCCACGCTTTGATTTCCGAACTTTTTGGAAGTAGAACAGACTTCTGGAACGGATTCCGTTTGACTTCCAAGATACGACTGTAATGACTTGTAGCCATTGATAGCCCCATCCTCCATGAATTGGTCTAATCCTCTTAGAAAGCCATCTAAGCTGGTGGCCATTGATACTTCCATAGTTGTAACTTCCTTTTGTCTGACCTGAATCTCCCCCCCATTCAGCTTCAATGGATGACCTGCTTCTATAGGGTTGCCATATGTCTGGAATTTACTGGACGTATTTGGGATACTGCAGTTGGCAGCAGTGTCCGGGCGGAAATCGGGAAAATGTCTGGGAAAATCTGAATGTATGGCAACCCATGTCAGCAGTGTCATTTTTGCCCATTTTCCATAAAAATAGGTCAAAAACTGTCCAGATTTTCACTCTTTGAAATATGGCAACCCTATTTAGCACAATCCACTTTTCCTACACCATGAACAATTGTATATACCTCTATCATGCCCCCCTTCACTTGTTTTTTTCTCCTAGCTTTCATCATTCGGGAGTTGCTCAGTTCTCACACTCCTCTCATGAGAGTCAGAAGGGTGTCTGGAATGCCCAACCTAAGGATTTGTTCTCTTCTTGGTTCCATAATGGCAAACTTAAAGGTTGGAGGATATTGTTAAAGCATTTCTTTCAGCTATGTGGGCAAAGGCTTTCCCTGCTATACTCAGCAGGGAAATTCTGTGATGGTTGTTGTTGTTGTTGTTGTTGTTGTTGTTGTTGTTGTTGTTATACCTCGCCCATCTGGCTGGGTTTCCCCAGACACTCTGGGCGGCTTACAGCATATATAAAAACATAATAAAACATGAAACATTTAAAATCTCCCAATACAGTGCTGCCTTCAGATGTCTTCTGAAAGTTGTGTAGTTCTTTGTTACAGCTTGGTGGTCACATTTGTTCTCGTAGAGGATCACAATGCTGGAGTCATGCATGTTGTCTTGTTCTTGTTCCTAACACTGCATGCGGAGGTGCTGAAACTCTCCAATGGTTTGTCTTCACCCCCAAAGGCACCATCCTCCATTGTTTCCCAGGATAGATGGATACTGTCAACAAACTTTTAAGCTTCAGAGTCCAGGCTCTTTCTCCCTACTCCCAGGAAAGTGAGTTTGCATCCAAATGTGCTCATTACTAGCACAAATAAAAGTAGTGCCTACTTGATTGCACTTCTGCATGTCTCGGTAGCATCCCAGCTTTCCTCTTGCAGCCTCAAATCCTGCCCATGATTGGCCCTCACTATTGTTTCATGGGGTTACGAAGGGTTGGACACAACTAAACGACTAAACAACAACAATTGTTTACCCAGAATAGGCTTTCATGCTTTCAGGCCCTTCTGAATTGGTGCCGTCCAGCCTCTGGGCTGTGCACACAGATCCCTGTTCTGAATTGGTTCACACATGTATCTACTACTAGTGGACTCATCTTTTTTCTGTCACCATTTATAACACCTTTGACCTGTTTATGGATGTGCGGTTATTCACAGTTATTCAGCACAGAGTGGTTGAGATTCCAGTATTAAAGGTTCAATGTAGGTTTGCCATATTTTGAAGAGCAAAAAAGAGGACACCTTTGCTGACTTCTACTTATAACTATGGATTGCTCTGACGGCTCTCATTTTACATACCCAGGGAAAAAGAAGATGTGACTTGGAAAAAGAGGACACATGGCAACCCTATCAAGGTCAACCTGACCATGATGACAATTTATGAGGCAGATCTGTGAATAATCTTCAATTGTGCCCCCAGACCTACAAATCACAACCAACCTGTTTAGCTTTGTACCACTTTCATACAGCTGCTTTGGAAAGCAGAACACCTTAATTAGAGCCATTAAAATAATTGCTTAATGTCTATGCAGGCGATTGAGCATGCCAAACCCCTATAAATGTGTAAATGGGCATTATTATTTTTTAAGCTTTAACTGAATAAAGGCAGATACAGTATTTTTCTGCCTATAAGACGCCCCCATGTATAAGATCCCCCCCAAAATTTTGAGGGACTCAGTTTTAAGAAAATGAGGGGAGATGGCTCAAAGTTGGCTCAAAGCCTTCACGCAGCTGTGGGCAGGAAACACCCCCCAGATCGCTCCCCTCTGGGGAAGCCGCATTCCCGACTGGCTGGCAGTATAGCATCTAGATCAAGGGAAGTAATAGTGCCACTGTATTCTGCTCTGGTCAGACCTCACCTGGAGTACTGTGTCCAGTTCTGGGCACCACAGTTCAAGAAGGACACTGACAAACTGGAACGGGTCCAGAGGAAGGGCAACCAAAATGGTCAAAGGCCTGGAAACGATGCCTTATGAGGAACGGCTAAGGGAGCTGGGCATGTTTAGCCTGGAGAAGAGGAGGTTAAGGGGTGATATGATAGCCATGTTCAAATATATAAAAGGATGTCACATAGAGGAGGGAGAAAGGTTGTTTTCTGCTGCTCCAGAGAAGTGGATCCAAACTACAAGAAAGAAGAATCCACCTAAACATTAGGAAGAACTTCCTGACAGTAAGAGCTGTTTGACAGTGGAATTTGCTGCCAAGGAGTGTGGTGGAGTCTCCTTCTTTGGAGGTCTTTAAGCAGAGGCTTGACAACCATATGTCAGGAGTGCTCTGATGGTGTTTCCTGCTTGGCAGGGGGTTGGACTCGATGGCCCTTGTGGTCTCTTCCAACTCTATGATTCTATGATTCTATGCTTCTCCCCCCACCCCATGCCACTATCCGTGTATTGGACAACCTGTTTTTTGAAATGATTTTTGTGTCAAAAAACCTCGTCCAATACATGGAAAAATATGGTATATTGAATTTCACGTCAGATACAGAAGGCAAATATTGGATTGGCCAGACATTGGGCTACAGGCTATGTTAATCAAGAAGGGAACAGCTAAGAAATAGTAAGGAAAGCTTTTGTTGGATCGATCCCATTGCTTCTATTTGGGAAGAGCCCACTGATACATTTCCTGGTACATTAGAGTGGTTCAGACTTTTGGGTTTGGGTTCATTTTCACTAGGGATGTCCCAGACCCCAAGATTCACCATGTTTCTGTGCATTTAAAAAAGTGCTGATTAGTTTCTGAATCACTCTTTGCACTCTGTGCTTCATGTTCCAAGAAGCTCTGTTCAAAACAAATCTGTTTCCCATTTGTTGCAATATATTAAAAAATATACTATATTGATATAAAAAGGCTTTTCCCTTTATTGACATATTGATATAAAAAGGCTGTTTTTCCCTTTGGGCCAAAGTGAATGGAATTTACAGGCCTCTCCATTGTGTATTAACTCTGCTAAATTACAGATAAATGGGTCCAGGGAGTCTTTGTGATGGAATTAAAAGGGTTCACTCCCTTCCATGTTCCATATTAGGACAATACTTTAGGCCTACTAAAACTCTAAAATTCAGATTTGTTTCATACTTTTGAAGGGAGGAAGCGAATGGTTTGCCTCTTGCTCTTCCTTACCTTTAAATAATTATGCAGTGTCTGAGTGTTTGTTTGCATATTTTAAAAAAAAAACTTTGCAGCTTCTCACCAGCTTTTCCTTTTAGGCCTCTAATAAGGCTGTGTAGAATGCAGTCTGAAAAACGATGAGATTCATTTTTATTTTTTGTTAATGCAGAGCAACATTGAATTTTTAAAAAACTTAAATGAAGCTTTAAACATTTTTGGAAGAAAGGAAAACCCTTCTGCTGCTGTGTATCAACAAAAACCAACCAAACCAAAGTCAAAACCATAGCTCTTCAGTGTTCTGCAGACAATATTTTGGACAGCCTAACTTCTGGAAAAACCCCTGGTCCTGGAGAAATATAGAGACAGGAATAGCAGCTATGAATGGCTGCTTCCTAGGTCATGTTGCCATCCTTGGATGTTTCCTGTGTTCCCATTTTGGCTCCATTAAACCATCTCAGCCCCACACTTTTTGACTTTTATTGAGGCAGCAAATTATATTTCTTTGGACTAAATCCAAGACCTAGGAAGCAGCCATTCATAGCTGGCATGCCCACACACATAATGTTCCTTAATTCAGCAAAGATCTACCTGTTCCATCCAAAATAGAAAGTGAGCCTATGCCAGTCACTTCCCCTTTCTTCTTGCATAAACTTCTCTCTGTGGGAGAAAAAGTGCTTCTTGTGATTCAGAGACTTTAAATCTTGTTCTTTCCTGTTGTCTGCCTGCTAACTGGGGGGCCTTTATGGGCAGACATTGTACTTGCGTTGTGTATGTGATTTCTCATTCCAGCTTGCTGTGGAGAGATTATAATACCCTATTAGCAAGGTTTGGTCATGCTTGGAGAAGTGATGCTAATTACAGAATCTACCAATTCCCTTTGTATTGGTAAGCATCAGGAATTGCTTGGCAGTCTTCCAAAGGCTTCAGGTTCTGCAACTGTATCTGCGGCTTACTGCAGAGTGCTGCCCACAAAGCCACTTGGATGGCAGGCCCGTGTTTCATGCAGCTCAAGGAATCCTTTAGGGCAGCAAACACATGCAGCTGCCTTATTAGCTGCAGCCTTGAGAAAACTCCTCACCCCTTATATTTAATAGGGGAAACATGCTAATATGACATTATTAGGGATGGATGGATAGATGGATTTGTCCATTTCACTTTCTCCCAGTTTCTCCTTTTTCCATTTTCCAAATTTAAATTCCATTGTCCATATTTCAACATCAGTTTGCAAATGTTCTTTAAAATTCCTCACAGAAAAATTGTCAAGGGTTTAGTGTGCATTTCTCTTAATACACACGTTTTGGTACATCATTTCACTTAATGTACACATTTTGCATGCAGGTTCCTCTCATATTTTGTGCCATATTTTCAGCAATATATGCATTTTGTGCATACTTCCCCTAATTGCCCACATTTTGACACATTATTTGGTTGAAGAACTGTACTGAAATATTAGAACCTGCTTTTTTGGAACATAAATAATACCTTTATTGCTTAAGTACTCTGTAATGCCCGAGACACACAAGCATTAAAGTACAATCGCCTTAGTGCTGTTGCATCAGACTAGGCACTAGCATGACCAAGTATATCCCAGTGTTCTTAAGAACTCATTTCAAAGCGGCATCTCTTTATTATCACTCTGGATGCAAATTAGATTCCAAGAAATAGGCCACATTAATTACAACTGTCATAGCGATTGTAGGACAATTGCACTCCCAGGCGAGAGTTTTTTGGGTTGTTGTTTTTTGCTTCTTATTCCATTTACTACTTTTTGGTGCAGCATGATGCCTTGCGGTATCTTACCTTGTTATCTACCAACCACCACTCATAAATGTCATTTTTTGCTGCTTGCGAGCAAATAGCTCTGTTTAAGGAAAGAAAGACAGTTTAAGTTAACAGGCACAATTTACTGTGATCCTGCTGGACTGAAAGGCACCTGGGCAGAGTGCAGGATGGACAAAGGCCTGCAGGGCATACCTGTGAAGCCAGGAGGAAGGGGTGTGTCTGCACCATGGAGGTTGGCTTGTTTTCTTTTCAATTTTCCAACAGCACAGTGTATGAATGAGCCAAGGGGTCTTTCCCCTGCATATGCTATTCATCTTGGAGCTGCCTTATATATTACTTCTTATACTCCATGGAGATAAACTCTGTGTAGGAAAATTCATTGATATTAAAATATGCCAGGGGTGGTATAAGGGTTTTTCTGGCCCAACAACCACTCTTGGCTGGTTAAGAAGGGAAGCCTTTCTGCACATCTTGCATTTTCAGATGACTAAGTTTTCTCCTCAAATATTTTATGAACGAACCTGAAAATGTGAATGTGACAAATGTATTTGCAAACATGTGTTTCATACTGCAACACTCACCGGAGAGCTAAAATTGGCTGTTGAGTGTAGACTTTATGGCAAACCTGGGTTTGCCTTGCATGTGTGGAACCCATAAGTCACTCACAAAGAACACATGTTGAGCAAGGAACTACGCAGCATAGTAGATATCACTCCATTATTTAATAAGCTCATTAGATATAACAGTATGAATGGCTACAGGATGTTCAGGTGTGAACTCATGAACTTGCAACATAATTTTATTTCTAATCATATGTCTAAACTTGCATTGTACTTGGACAAGCCAGTAATTACATGTGATTTAATGGAGTGTGTGTTTCCTTGTTTCTCTGTATTCTACATAATTATACAACTAAGTTTGTTTTTCTTCTGTTTTCTTGCCATTCCTGTCTAGCAGCGGTGATAGATTGGGATCTATCGTTAGATTTCTGGATGATTTGCATAGATTGACATAAGTTTCTGACTTCTAACTGCTTAACAATAGCAACAACAAATTGACTTTTCTCATGAAAATTAGGCTTCTGAAATAAAGGAAGCTAAGAGAGGCTGAATTTCTGTGCAAAAGTACTTTGATTTCATGTTCAGGTACTGAAAACAAATTTCAAGGCTCAGAATATGCTCAGAGGCACCCTGTTTTGTTTTTCTATTCTAACTGGATGTCTCTGGATGCCTCTGGCTAGTGGATCTTGAGGTTCTAGTAAAACAAAGTAGATCTAGTAAAACAAAGCCAGTTGTTTTTTCACCCCTGCTGTACAGTTTTAGAAGCCTGCTGAAGTCTTGAGAATTTCCTTGGTTCCATATTCTAGACAAGGTTTCCAGAAGCTTGCTGGAATAGTACAGTTCCTCTCCCTGCCAAAGGAGAGCAAGGTCTATGATTATCTGAAGTCTCACTTAAGTTCCCATATCATCACCTGAATCTCAAAATCACGTGAAGCAGGTCATGTCTACTCAAGTCAATGACAATTCTGTATACGTGAACTGTGTGAAGGGAAGCCCTTAATGAGAGGGCAGGATTAATCCCTCCAGCCCTCTAATTTCTTTCTTGCTTTTCTTCATGTGCTTCTTGTATCAGTGGACCTATCTTGACTGGTGTCAGCTTTTCTTCCTTGTTTATCTTTTGCTATTTTTAAAATGTCACTATAATCAGGGCTTTCCCCCTACAGTTCAGGTACCTCTCAGATGGGTGCCATTGTGGGCTGGCTTCCTGATGATGACAGAGGCGGGCAGCAGCTGGAGGGTGGCTTCTCTGGCGGGGAAGAGGCAGAGGCTGGTTAGTGTGATACCTAGGTCTGCATTTCGTTCACTGGAACAAAAAAAATTTCCATACAAGCAAAACGACAAACAAAAATGTTCCTCTCTTGCCAGGCCTGTGGCCTTTAACTTTTGGAAGTGGGTGGGGTGTTTCCCCACCCACCCCGCCCCTACTTTGGTTTATTTTATTTTTTATTAAATTTGAATACTGCCCTTCACCTGTTGATCTCTGGGCGGGGCAGCGGTGGGTGCTGGGTGGGTGGGTGCAAGCAGCATCAAAACAGCCCCTCCCGTGACATGAGCTTGGGATGAGGCAGTGGCTGCTCGGGAGGGAGGGTGATGCCTTGGCAGCGGTGATCAACCAAAATTCTTCCCAGGTCAACCAGTCGATCGTGATAAATGTGTTGGACATGTCTGCTGTATAGTATGTATGGAATGACCTTCCCTCCATCAGCTCTCTAGCAACTTCAGTAGGTAAACCATAAGAACAACTGTTGACCCCAGTGCCTCTTGGGCAAGCAATGCCCTCAGTTGTCTTTTGTCAGCAGCTAAATTCAGATCGTCTTTTCCTTGCCACTGATTAATGTGTCTGAGATTAGGGTTTTAGATTACCAGGTCTGAGGCCTTGGGTCCCAGGTACATCAACCCACTATCAATATTGCTTCTAATAATGTGGATTCTATTGTATTTGTTTTATTTTTTTAAAAAAACAAGACTATTACTCAGACACAATTCTCCACTGCAGACTGACATTTGCGATGAAAATTCAATGAGGCAGCAATTGTCTATTTTATATGAAAAGCCTGCAATGTGACTCTGAGGAGCAAATTTAGTCATTATGTTCAGTTACTATGTGAGCATGGCAAATGAGATCCCTCTTGAGCTAGCAATTACATTTTGACTAAGGTTATGAAACTGAAATGAAATTAAAATGATCCACAGGGCCTAAAAGAACTTCTAATCTGCACTATTAAAAATATTACTTTGATGCCTGTGTTTTTAATAATACCATTTTGGCATGAGAGTGTTTGTACTAATCCTTTCTCCCTAGAAATTGAGCTTAGACTAATTAGAAAAAAAGAAGACACTAAATTTGCTACTGCAAAATATAATAACAGGGTCATACTTTGATCGTGTTTTTAATCAATGTGAGACTGGGTTTCTGGAAGAAAACCATTACACAAAAGGGATGTACAACAAATAAGCAAAAGAATAATACCACTCATCAGGAAACAGGTTGTGATTTTTGTTGGTAAAGTTGCACTTGCATGCCTAGGTATTATATTCATGTTCTGCTACAAAGACAATGATGCTGTACAGATGGACTGGTAATGCCACATCTGGAGTAAAGTGTCCAGTCTGGGGTGCCACATTTTAAGAAGGATATTGACAAAACAGAGTGTGCTCAGAGAACTGCAACTAGGATGGTGAACGGTCAGGAATCCCAGTTCTATAAAAAATAATTGAAAGAGCTGAGTATGTTGAATAAATATTATAATATAAAAAATTAGAAATTACTTGAAAGCAACTAAGGATTAAACTAAGTTATAATTAATTAAATAAATTAAATTAAACTAAGTTATAATTAAATAAATAAATAAATAATTTAAATGGGTTTTAGAATGTTAAGAAAAGTGAATAAGATGGACTATAATTGGAAATTGTTTTAGTTTAATAATGATATTGGAAAGCTGTTACTTTTAATTACAAGGAAACTCAGAAGGGAGGGATTTGAGGAAGTCAACCAAGATATTTAAAAGGTTGGATTTGTGAAGAATTAAGTTTGTTGTTATTGTTTATCTGTTTATTGTTCCCTTTTTTTCTTTTTTCTGTTTTAGTGTAACATTTTGCTTTGTGGTTTGTGTTATCATTGTGGAAAATCTAATAAAAAATTATTTAAAAGAAAGAAAGAAAGAAAGAAAGAGCTGAGTATATTTTGCCTAAAGACAAGATTAAGGGGAGATATGATAGTGGTCTTCAGATGGAAAAGACCTGTTCTCTGTCTGTGGTCCATTCTTGTCCTAACTGGGCCTAGTTGGGCAGATTGGAACCTCCAGGGAAGGGAAGGCTGTCCTGATCTGAAATTGGGAGAGGAAATGTGAAGGGGGCAGGGGGCAGAGACTGAGGGGGCAAGGTGGGTTAAAACATGGACTCTTAGCCTTCTCATAAACAGAAATGTTCTTTAAAAATTGATGGCAGAAAATATATCACATAAGATTCATTTAACACCCTGTGCGTTTTCCAAGAAATGTTAGAATTAACTTGGGCTATAGAATTAGCAGGAAGTATCACTGAAGGCAAATACAGCCTGATAAGAGAATCATAATTCTTCTCTCATTATTTCTATTCTGATACCAAAAACATCTCTGCCCATAAAGCATTACTGGAGATGGATGCTCCAACACAAACAAAACCACCTGCTTCTTGAATTTACTTCCTGAAAAAAATGAGTCCACAGTTTGTACTTGTTTGAAATAGGGCAAAATTGGGTTAACTCTCCAAATAGCTCAGAACAAATATTTTAAACAATAAAACCAATGTACATATAATTTGAACAGTCATAACAATAAAATAAAAATATAATTAAAATGAGGCAAGAATTCTAAAACCACTTTCCCAACTTAAAACTACAGAGATAATAATTAAATAAAAGCTCTCCAAAAGAGAATCATTTTTACTTGCCTTCTAAAGATCTACCAGAAGGAAGAGAGATTAATCACTCAGGTTACACTCTGTGCCCTGTCCCATGTGGCCTAGAAACATAGATATGTATCCCAGATCACCTTTACTGGTGAGTTTCACTGAAGCTGCTAGTTAGCACTTACTCACAAGTAAGGAAACAGAACATTGCAACCTTATATGTCAATCCTTATGGCCACAATGACATTGATTTCAATATAAAAAAATTCCTTCCAGTAACACATTAGAGACCAACTAAGTTTGTTATTGGTATGAGCTTTCGTGTGCATCCACACGTCTTCAGATACACACATTGATTTCAATGGCAGATTCGTGTCATACTTGCTAAAGAAACTGGGAAAACAAATGTATTACCTGGTCTGACTCCATATATCTCTGCATAGATATCCGCCTGTTTAAATTAGGCGATGTTTTATTACAGCTATCATTACTGTTGAGTCAGTATGTGGAGGGAAAAGGCACATGAAGATGGCCAGCAAGAACCTCAGAGAGTATTTTTATCTACTTATTTAATAAGTTTTAGACATTGCTTAATCAGGGATCCAAAGTTCTTAAACTTCTCACCAATAAGGAATACCCTGACCTCTGCATAAGATTTTGAAACTGATGGCCATATTTGAAAGTGGGAAGGCCTATTCCCCTTTCAGTTTTTTGTCCTTCTTAGCTAGTATTGCCCTTGCTATGAATGAGAGGCATATGTCTTCCCAAACTGATGCTAAGGCAAAAACTAGCATGGCATTATAATAACGCCTGCAGAAGGTAAAAACTGCTCTCACACAGAAGAGAAACTGTTTCAGATGTCATCAGCTAAAGGATAATAGACCAGCATCTTTTAGCTAGACTGATACCAGCTTTACCTTATTAAACACTAGGTGTGAAGCAAAAAGGATGACTCATGCTAAAGACATCAATGCTCAGTTATACACCTGGCCATTAAGAGACTGGAAGAAGACAAGACTTATAGGGCAACCCTAATTGTGTCTACTCAGAAGTAAATCCTATTGAGTTATTCACAAATATGTGAGGTTAGGAGTAGGGTTGGGGGAAATTGATTCAGTTTGCATTTAAAGGTAAACCTCAACCTACAGAATTCACACATTCTGAAATGATATGAGAACAGAAATGGAGCCATTCAAAATGTGCAGTTTTCTGAATGTTGCAGTGCAGTTCTCCAGCCGGGTAATGTACACAAAAAACCATATACTAAGGTAAAGTGTGCATGCAAACATATATAATAGCTAAATTTACATACATAAATTTGTATATGATGACAAATTCACAGCAAAATGCTGATGAATATTAATGTGGACTTTTAAAAAAATTCACAAACCAATATAGAAATGTGGAGAACTAAACTCAAGAGTGGAAAAATGAGAAACTGAGCAAAACTGAAATTGGCATGTTCAGCCACCCCTGGTTAGGAGTGCAGCCTTATTCTTTATTTTGGGGTAGTCGTTTTGGTGCAGGTAGCCAATGGCAGTTTTGTGCTAGGGGAAGGTCTTCAGGCAGGATGCTTGATTTTCAATCATTATCCCTCCCCACAGCCATTCTCCCCACAAAAATTTATACTGAGAATTGAAGAAAATTCTGGCAGTGTGGGATGTTATAACACAGAGGGCTGTAATTTGGCATTTTAGCCATTAAACACATGGTTAAATTGGCATGTTTTCTTTTTGTCATCTTTTAATTATTACTTTAAGATTTATTCAGAATGCTTTTTTTCATGAACAAGTATTGTTAATTTCATTTGTAACTAATCCTTTGTGCTTTGCAGCATTGTAATCAGCTTTTATAGGATTAGTAGGTCCTACAACAAAGTGTTGCAATGTATCTTCCTCACACCCTAAGAAGAGTATTCCTACTCTAGATTCCTGCAAGTCCACCAGCCATCCTTGCTCTTTTCCTCCTCCAGGATCAACTGTAAAAGGGATCAAATAGGCCAGTGCACTCTCCTGCCTCTCCGGTTTTCATTTTTTTGTTTCCAACTAATACCATATTGGCCCGAATATAAGCCGCACTTTCCCCCAAATTTGAAAAGTTGACGTGCATCTTATATTTGGAACCGAGCGCTGTGCGCCCGCCTCCCGGCATGACCGCCCTGAACGGGGGACGGGGGCGGCTGCCGCTTGGTGTCCCGCTTGGCAGCTTGGGGAGGGAGTGCCGGGAGGCAGGCCGCACCCGCAAATAAGCCTTGAAATTTAAAGGTGTGGCTTATTTGCGGGTGTGTCTTATATTCGGACCAATATGGTACTCAGTATTGCATGGTTCCTGGAAGCAACTGGGCATGTTTAATTGCCATTGGGCTGGTTTTGACGGAAGTGACCCTTTTGCTTTGTACTTCTGCATAGCTCAGGATTCAACCGAGAATGCTGATACATACACACACCCCTTTTTATTTTTAAGCTGCCCTGTTTGGGCTCTGATCTTGTCAGCACTCAACCACCTAAGTCACCATGAGGAAATTATTTGAAGCTTTTTATTTTGGCCTGACATCTGATTCAGGGGTGTTGGGGAACAGCTGATACTGGAACGAGGAGCCAACACTTCCCCTTCCCCACCTCACCTGAAAGTTGTCTCACCCATCTAAGCCACTGGAACTTATTTGCCCATAAGCACTTAACTGGTCTAAGACCTTATTGGAATGAAGCTTCCTTAAGTGGCATATGGGCGTCCAGATGGCAGGCGGGTGGAGGGCTGTGGGGGCACAAATAAGTAGATGCCTCAGTCTTAAGGGAGATGGTTGGGCTTGGTGGCTTTTATGCTTCTTCCAACTCTAGAATACTTCTAGAGTTAGAAACTATTTGGAATGGTCAGGAATTTTGACTACCAATCAGAATAGGCAAAGGCTCCAGACAGTGCCCAGATAGATCTTTTAAAAGACTCTTGCAGGCCACCATTTGCAACTGGAATCTCATTCCCCTTGCTTCCATAGGACCTGTTCATTTTATTTTATTGCTATGGCTAGTGGCTAATGCAAATAAAGTTTCTATGTATAGGTCCTGCTCATCTGCAGGGAGACCCAGGTACACTTCATAGCTCCATGGGAACCACATGGCCATCATTTCATCTTGTGCTGCTGCTGTAGCATTTGAAGGGCGCTCCCCATGTAATCACCATCCCAAAGGGCATAAGGAGGGAAGGGGAAAGGTGACGTTCGCTGTTCTCTTCCCCTTGCTGCCCCTTGAAGTGGTGCAGGGGGTTGCAAGGGGAATGGGAGGTCAGTGGAAAATGCTGCCTCACAACAACAGCAGCAAGGATACTTCTTGCAAAACATTGGAAAACCCAAGATCTACCCACACTGGAAGAATGGCAGATGCAACTGATAGACTACATGGAACTGGCTGAAATGACCGGCAGAATCCGTGACCTGGGAGAAGAAAGGATTGAGGAGGATTGGAAGAAATTCAAGAACTATTTACAAAAATATTGCAATTTGAGTGAATGCTAAGTAAGATGCTAGACCAAAATAACTGAGCACCACTAAATTTAGAAGTTTTCTATGAAAATAAGTAAGACTGTGAAAATTTAATTCCCTTTGAAAATTATAAGGTTATGAAATATAGAAGCGATATAAGAATTTAAATAAGATGATAAATTGCTGACAAAATGTTATAACGATGAAAGTGGGAGTGGGAGATGTGAGGAAGTCCAAAGAAAATGTGAAATTATGTCAAGACAAAGGTTATATTGTTTAATATGTTTATTTTTATTGTAAAACCCAATAAATTGCTTTAAAAAAAAAAAAGGAAAATGCTGCCTCACTTCTGCACTCCAGCTGGATTCCAGTTTCTTCCACGAGCAGAAGGAGCACCTCTGTTCATGGGGGGTTAGTTAGGATCCAAGCAATTATCTGAAATTAACAAATCAAAGATGAAGTCTTCAAGCAGAAATAATTCACCATACTCACCTCTTCACACACGTGCACACGCACACACCTTTCTGCTGGGGAGAGCAGCCCAAGGTCACCCAGTGAGCTCTGTGAACAAGCTGGGAAATTGAGGGCCTAAAAACAGGAGGCCCTAAGGTCTTGGGGCCACATTCCCTTATACTGAGCCTCTCAGGGGCTACATGCCAGAAGTGGCTGGAGCCAGAGGCAAGTTGGTAGAGCAAAAAGTGGCACGTTTACTTTGTACCTTGCAAAAGTTTGTAATTAACACAGAAATCAGAGCTTGCCAGTTAAAGTCCAGAGATGACGAGAATCTTCTTTATATATATTCCTAGAATAAGCAAGAGTGTTAAAAGCAGTTTTTGTTATAGTCCGCATGACATTCTTTCTGAAGAAGTCCCATCAAAGTAAGTGGCTCTGCTCCAGAGAAAGTAGGCTACTGATTGCAGCCGTAGGTTTCCTGGCTAAATTTTCAAACAGCCTTTGTAGTCTAACGGAATGACAGACATAAATGTTTTCAAGGCCTTGGGCATGTGCCTCAGCATCTTAAAATAAGGCTGTTGTTTTCTAAGGACGAATGTAACAAGAGACTTGCGTTGATTAGAAAACAGTGTAGAGAACTGGAGAGAAAGTAGGAGTTGACCTGTAAAGTTGTATGTTTTGCTTGTGTAGCGTTATATTTACACCTTGTAAAAATGCACAGCAGGAAAGTGGTCCATTGATTTATACCAAGCAGGGGTCAAACTGGGTAAAACAAGGACATCAGCTATTAAACCTAAGCCAGAAAGAACAATTTGTATTCAGTCTTGAACCTCCAGTGACATTTATCTTTAATTGTTTTGCCTCAGCTCTGTGACAGCAAGTACAAAGTCCAATTATGATAAGAAGCACAACCCTATTGAGTAGAGCTTATTATGCCTACTAGAGTCTGATCACTATTAGTAATTACTAAACAACACACACCCTTGTGAAAGCTGTTTTTATGCAAGCTTCTTGAGCTGTCTCAAGGAGTGGATAAGGTATTTAAATCCAAACACATACTTACGTTAGTAAGAACCTGCTGTTTCATTGCTTTTAATTATAGTAATAAATTTTATTTATACCCCGCCCTCCCTGGCCAGAGCCAGGCACCAGTAAAATTACAGTAAAAACATAATAGGAAAAAAAACCCCAATTTAAAATACAGGTTAAAATGCAATTTAAAATGCAGCCTCATTTTAAAAATAGCCCATAGATCAAAACCATAAGGGGAGGGAAACATAAGCGTCAGACTGAGTCCAAACCAAAGGCCAGGTGGAACAGCTGTGTCTTGCAGGCCCTGCGGAAAGATGTCAAGTCCCACAGGGCCCTAGTCTCTTGTGACAGAGCGTTCCACCAAGTCGGGGCCACTACTGAAAAGGTCCTGGCCCTAGTTGAGACCAATCTAACCACCTTGCGACCTCCAAAATGTTGTCATTTGTGGACCTTAAGGTCCTCTGTGGGGCATACCAGGAGAGGTAGTCCCGTAGGTATGAGGGTCCTAGGCTGCATAGGGCTTTAAAGGTCAAAACCAGCACCTTAAACCTGACCCTGTACTCCACCGGGAGCCAGTGCAGTTGGTAAAGCACTGGATGAATGTGATCCCGCGGCAAGGACCCCAAAGGAGCCTCACTGCGGCATTCTGGAATTTCTGGGTCAGCTTCAAGGCCAGCCCTGCATAGAGCAAGTTACAATAATTAAGCCTGGAGGTGACCGTCACATGGATCACTGTGGTCAGATCAGGGCGAGAAAGGTAAGGTACCAACTGCTTAATATGGCAGAGATGGAAATTTGGATATTATTATTCCAGAAAACAAGAGCAGGAATTGGCAAGTGTGACATAAGAATGCTCTGTTTATAGTTGGTGCTACAATAAGTCATACTTGCTACTCCTATTTCTTAATATATCACTCCAAAGCAAGAAATCACCAAAAGCATGGTCCATAGGGAAGTTTTGTTGAGTGAATGTAGAATTTCCTGGTTGATTTTCCTCAAGACTGGACACACGAGTACCATAAGAAAATATAAAACTGTTCATTTGCATATACAATTCAATGTATCATATGCCTTCATTATATATCTTTAGGTGCCTTGGGCTGATTAACATTTCATGTCCTTTTAAATATGTTTGTGATAGGAGGGTTATTGGTTTGGTAGACAATGTAGTGTGTGCATGCTCAGCGGATGACCTCCAAACCATCCTAAATATATTCACAGAAGCTTACGAAAAGCTTGGCTTGTTGCTCAACATCCAAAAAACCAAAGTGTTGCACCAACAAGTACAAAATAACCCCTCTGCAGTGCCACAAATCCAACTCAATGGTGTAACATTGGAAAATGTTGATCACTTCTCCTACCTAGGCAGTTATCTTTCTACAAGGGTCAACATTGATGCCAAAATTCAGCATCACCTGAGCTCTGCAAGTGCGGCTTTCTCCCGATTGAAGTACAGAGTGTTTGAGGACATTGGCAGGGAAACCAAAATGCTTGTTTACAAAACTATTGTACTACCAACCTTACCGTATGCTTGTGAAACATGGACCACTTACAAACGCCATCTCCAACTTCTTGAAAGATTCCATCAATGGTGTCTCTGAAAAATCTTCCACATCACTTGGGAAGACAGAACTGGATCCAGACAGTGTACTGGATGAAGCAAAGATCACCAGTGTTGAAGCAATGATTCTTCAACATAAACTTCGTTGGACTGGTCATGTTGTGCGGATGCTTGATGATTGTCTTCCTAAGTAACTACTCTACTCCGAACTTAAAAATGGAAAGTGTAATGCTGGTGGTCAACAAAAGAGGTTTAAAGACTGTCTCAAGGCAAATCTAAAAAAATGTAGTATAAACACCGACAACTGGGAAACACTGGCCTGTGAGCTCTCCAGTTGGAGAACAGCCTTTTTACCAAAGGTGTCATGGACTATGAAGACAGTCAAACTCAGAACGCAAGGGAGAAACATGCTAAGAGAAAGGCATGCTTGGCAAATCCACACCGTGATCAACTCCCACCCGGGAACCAATGTCCCCACTGTGGAAGGACGTGTGGATCCAGAATTGGCCTCCACGGTCACTTACAGACTCATTGTTAAAACCGTGTTTATGGAAGACAATCTTACATGGCTACTATTAATAAAAAACAATGTGCTAAATAATTAATAATAATAATCAGGTGCTTTTGTTCCTTCCTAACTTATAAAACTAGTTAAAGGTAAATGACAGGGAACAAAGCATTCTCAGTCCAAAAGCTTCCAGGTTTAGGCCCTATCCAACGCCCATGTTTCCATTAGTGGCAACTTTAAAGGGATTGGTGTTGGTGGGGCAGGTGGAGCCCAACAATGGGCAAAGCAGGCAACCAACACAAGGGAGGCTCCTTTGGCTGGAGAAGCTTGACACAATGCCTGGAGCTCCTACCTGGTTTCTCTCGTCCATCTTTCCATTCATCTCCTGTTACCTTTTGCTTGAGTGCCTGGAGATTGCTGGCTGTAATGCAGGTGCTTACTCTACCAACTATTGGAGAAGCCACACTCTGTCCACCCCCAGCAAATATCCTACCCGTACAAAGGGGCTGCTCTTTCGTGGTGGGTAGGACCATGTTGCCCATTTTTTAGGTCTCTGTCCCTCCATTTTCCTATTTCAGATCTGATACTCCTTGTGTTGCTGGTTTCACCTCAAAACTTAACCTTTGCGGTATGCAATGGAGAACTCGGAGAAGGAAGGGAATGTGGCCCAGACCTAGGTGGCTTTCTGTGCAAGGGGAGGGATGTGTTTGTATGTGTTGAAGTAAACGGCAGAAAGGAGTCCATCTCTAGCATGCACTTTCTTCTGCTGCCTCTCCCCAGTTCTTGGCTGCCTCCATCCCCATCCTGGTATCTCTTTTGACACTCCACAAATATAGCATCCTCAAGGGCAAAGGTCCATCCCAAAATACCTCAACAGCTACAGTTCAAAGATCGCAACCAGTGTCTCTGCTGCCCCAAAGTGCAGAAGGGGCAGACTTCTGCTCCCTAGGACAAAATGTGTGGATCTGTCACTGTCTTGAACTGAAGTCACGTCTCTTGCTTGCCTGGATGAAGCAAGCTGTTTGTGGGGCTGGAAGGCTTGTTTGTGCACGAGCAAACAAGAAATTAGCAAATTTTAATATAACTCTTTTCAAAGAGTTTTAAACAGTAACTCCACTGATGGGTCATTTGGCTATCCACTGGCTCTCCCTCCATACCAAGGCATAGCTTGCATTTGCAGTTGCAGCCACCACAGGCCTTCCTAAAGGGGAGGCAGCACGTGGCCTTAGTTGTTTAGGAGCAGATCATGGACTGCCAGAATCAGGCTGAAGACTGTGTTTTTACCCATTAACTCTTTATCACTTAGTCAACTTAGCCAAAGCTTCTTGGGGAAGGGGGAAGACTATATTTTCTATGGTTTGTTGCACTATGCCAGAAAATTGTGCAGCTGAACTATAGGCTGGAAAACAGCTGGCATACTGCTCTGTGAAAATACAGTTCCATTCCTCACAACATCATGGGAAAGGGAAAACCACCACAGGTAGGGAAAGTATGCAAGAGTAAAGACGAAAGCAAAGGAGTACTGCCATGAGGCCTAAAGGGGGACAAAATTAACCCAGAGCAGGATTTGGCAATTATCCACCAGTGAGCAGCAAACAGTGCCCTGCCAGGCCTGGTTTTCCTTAGTCCTCATACCTTTTCCCTACAGTCAGGGCCAAACAAGACATTATGTAAATCACCAAACTGCATCTTTTGAGTGAAGGTTTTGGTTTGGTTTGCTTGACACAAATTGCCAAGTGTGGCATAAGGAGGAGCAGTTTGGATCAGGATTCCAGTGTGGGGGACTTTAACTCTTTGTCCCCTGCTCAGTCTAGATAAAGGACCCTCTTCCTGCAATTTAGATGCGGTGTGTGTGTGTGTGTGTGTGTGTGTGCTCTGAAGCTCCCACTGAAGCAAATGGGTATTATTTTTCCAATGCAAACTGCAGGTTCAAGGTCTCTAATCTGGACTGAGCCCACAGCAAGGGTGAAGAGTTAAAACCCACCTACTCAATGCTGGTGTCCTGATCCAGATGTGCCCTCCAATCCCAGTGCTGACAGTGTGTACAAACTGCACTTACCGAAGAGATAAGTCATTTGGCCCTTAGTTGGGCAGCCCTTTGCATTTGTCCAGCTCTAATCGCTTTAATACCACTCCTATACGATGCTTCATCTTCTTGTTCCTCAGCCCCATCTTTGTGATCCATCAAAACTGATGGTATTTTATTGCTCCTTGCAATGCTGCGGAAAATATATCTCCCCTTCTTTTTGGTGTGTAAAAGATCCACAAGCAATTGATAATTGGAATTGTCCTTCAAGATCCATGTAGATTTTGCATTTCACTGTAATGTTTCTCACATATATGCACACATTAGAAGGGGCCATAAACTCCCCTCTAGAACTAGAGAAGTGAAACTATGGAAATGGAGAGTTGGTCTGACACCCCCCTTCCAAAACACCCACAACAGACCCAGCCATGGGCGTAGCCAAGGGGGGGGGGGCATCTGCCCCCCTAAATCAAGTAAATACATAAAAATACTTAACTAACTGAGGTTCTGCCCTCCCCCCCAAATCCTGGCTATGCCCACAAACCCAAGTGCTGCAGATAAAAATATTTCACACAGAAGAACAGCCCAGTAAACAAACAAACAAACAAACAAACTTCAGGTCTGTTTTTGTGCAATTCCCTTTAAAAGGTCTTATTCTTTCAAAAATGTCAAGCTCCCTGCCCCAATACCATTCCCTGTGGTGCACTAAGCTTACACTTCGCAGCAGGACCCTGCACATGGAGCAAAAACCTATTCCTGCCACAGATCCATATTCGGATCCGCCAGAGCAACAATGCTTCCTGCTTTCCAGCCCAGAGCTCAATACGTATAAATATGTATAATTGTATACACCTCCATAACTTCAGTGAGCCCAGACGTCTGTCTTCTGAAAGTGGGAGCAGGGCTTCTTGAGATGGCGTTAGAGAAGTGTCCATCTTCCACGATTGCTGTAGCAGCATTTTAAGGAGTTCAGTTCATCCAGTTGGGATAATGGCTGGGAAAAGATACAAGGAGAAACGCTGGGCTAGAAGTTCACACACAACTGGCTGTTTATGCAAAAAGCACACACAGGGGCGTAGGAAGGCAGGTGTGGGGGTGCGTTCCACCCCGGTGTCATCCCTGAGGGGGGACAAAACGGCACACCGTGGGGGCCTGGCATCCGCCAGCCGGACTCCGTGGGCCCGCTCTGGGGGCTGGAGCAGCCCCTAGGCCATGATTGCAGAAGAATGAGGTCCCCCCCACCCCTTGCCTGAACCCCAGTGAGGGAAGGGGCAGCGCTCAGGGGCAGAGCTCTGCAACCTCACCTGCCCACGCTGCTCTAAGGCAGCTTCCGACGTTCCTCTGTGGCCGCCTGGGGAGGATGGTTCCGTCTGTCTGTCTGGACAGCCCTGCGGTGCAGTGGTTAGAGCGCCCGAGAGAGCAGGGTTCGAATCCCCGCTCGGCCGGACCGGGCAGTCCTGGCCTCACCTGCCGCCGCCTCAGGCCTTTTCCAGGCGCCCCAGGACGGAAGTCCGCGGAAGTCCCTGGGCGAGCGCCGAGTCCTCCTGCTTCTCCTCCTCGCGCGGGGCTTCAGGGATGTGCGGCCTGGAAGGAAGGCGAAACCTCCGCTAAAGGGAGCCAGCCAGAAGCCGAGCCCGCCGGCCTCTGGGCGCTGCCGAGAGAGAGGAGGGGGAGCCGCCAGGAGGGAGGGGCGCCTGAAGGAGGGAAGGGGCCGAGGGGAGGCGGAGGAAGGCGGGCGGGCGGGCGGGCGGGCGGAGGGGCCCGAGCCGGCGGCGCCCCTTCGCGGGAAGAGAGCGGGGCCCGGCGGGCCGCCTTTGCCTCCCGGCAGAGAGCGGAGGAAAGAAGGAGGGCGGGCGCCGAGGAGCCCCGCTCGGGACTTGGCCGCCGGAGGAGGCGGACGCGGCTGCCCGGCTGCTGCCGCCGCCCCTTTTCGAAGAGAACGGGCGAGCGAGAGGGAGCCGCGTTGCCGGGGACCAAGCGGCGCAGAGGCGCGACGGACGAGGCAGCCGTGCAGACGCGCCGAGAGAAAGAAGGAGGGAGGCCCTGGGCCGCCGCAAGTCCGTCCTGCCACCGCGGCTGCTTCTCGGCCGGCCGAACTGCGTCGCCTGCGGCAAGGAGCGCGAAGCGGCGGAAGGTGGGTGCGCGGGCGGAGAGACCCCCGGGCGGGTCCCGGGCTTCCCTCCTCCTCCTCCCGGAGCCCCTCTCCCTCTGGGGCGGGGTCTCCCCACAGAAGGGGAGCCGGGGGGGGGACCCGAGAGGGCTTGGCGCCCCGAGGAGCCTCCTCGGCGAGGGGGAAGTGGCGCTGCGTTGCGGCAGATGGCAGCGGGGGCCTCGTCCTCGGGTTCGCCTTCCTGCTTTTGAATCCGGACTGAACAGGTGGAGCGAGGCGACGCGGCTTCGGCTTCTCTCGGGCTCTTCGTTGGACGAGGAGAGCGAAGCCTTGCCGCCCCTCCGGCCTCCATGGGGGGGCATGGCTGGAGGGGGTGCCTGGACCTCTGGGAGATTCTTCTCAGTTTCAGAATAAGGATGTGAGGCTTGTCCTGCTCCCTGCTCCCTTCCTGCTCCCATGGGACGGTCCTGCGGGGGTCCAGGCTGATTCCCAGGGGAGGGAAGTTGTGGCGACGGGGGGGGGTGTCATGTCAGACACGGAAACCGGTGCCCTGGAGCGGTCCTGACCGCAGAACCACCCCCCTCCTGCGGAGTCTGCAGGTGCCCCTTACAGGCCGGGAGCACAGCAGGTGGTTTGGGTTCCCTGCCAGCATCAAGGCATTTAATAAGTACCCCCCCCCCCTTGCTGTGGAGAAGAGCTACAAGCTAGGCCAGGCCAGGGTTTTGGTTCTCCAGGGATGCTTCAGCCTGTAAAAAGGACAAAATCCACCCCCCACCCGCCCAAGCAGGCAACAAGAAGACTGGCTGTTCAGTGTATTTGCTCCCACTTCCCAGTAAAATTATGTATTACTTACATGTTACCTTTTTGAATCCCCTATGCTCTGCTCATCAGGGTAACTTGTAAACAAGTTCCACTGCTTTCAAATGAATGTTTAGGATAGGGCACTTTAGGGTGCCAGAGGATTTGAATTAATGTGCAAATGTTCTGTTGTAAGTTAAAGATCACCTTCCTCTTCATGTCATTGTTTGCACATGAAATGAAGAGCAAAGCCCAGCCTTTACAGTATTTCTTAAGATACTATTTTGCAGTGCTGAACTGAATCTGTTCCTCTAAATATAGGTGGGGAGGGGGGAATCTATAATTTTTCAGATAAAATAGGTGCCACATTCTATCACCAACAAATTTATGATGTTCCTATGTGGTCTTTTATGGATTGGGGGCAGGGATACCATTAGTTTCAGACTATGCTTTTGTATATGAAGAAGTAATGAAGCAGTTATATAGATATGTTTTTAAAATGCTTAATTTGCTGCATAGTGACCTACAAAGAAGGTTTCTGGTCGATATATGAAGTTTGGCTTGCATTATTGCTATTTGCTTAAAATAGCATTGCTTCCTGGAACCAAAAGGTGTTGCAGTGCTTCAGTGCAGGGCATGGTTTTCTATTTCAGTATATGCAAAATACACTTTTGTGTATTTTGCTTATCTTTGTTTATTCTCTCACCCTCCCAAAAGTACCATTGCATTAGGTCACCTGAAGAAAATGTCACTATCAGCTAGCTCATATTACCTATTTAAAAAACGGGTGCGGGCCCTGTTCAAGAGAACTTAATACAAATCCCCAAATATTCACAAGATATATGAGAGAACTTTTACGCGTAAAAAGTTTAAGGGTTTTACTAGTAATCCTCAAACATGTGAAGTGATTCATTCAAAATGTATATACAAGTAGCTAGGTAACATGAAGTCACCCATGACTTCTACCAGTTTGACCCTCTGCTTCTTTCCTTTCATGTAGCCCTAATACTTGCAGGCCTGGGTTGGAGTGGGAGACTTTACCAGGCACCATAAGCACCCTGCCTGCACCCACTCACTTGATAACAGTCATTTATGTTTGTCTGATAGACAGAAAGTCTTCCCCTCTCCCTTTCCAAGGGTTCGTTGTATGGCCTTAGTAACTGTCTCTCAATCTTGGTTTCCCATTCAGTAATAGGACTGCCAACTGTTCAGGAGGAAAAAGAAAAAGCATGCCTGACTTGCTTTTGTGCCTGTAACATTGCAGCAAGATCTGCAGAAATGAGCAGCTGAAGCTTTTCATAATGGAGAGAATTATCACTTACCAAGGGCTGCAGATCAAGCTATATAGGCAAAGAAATAACAATAAAACCCGTATCTGTAAAATAGGAATAGTAGCAACTTGACAGGGATGTTATATATGTATGCAGTCATTTAGCTTTTGTTGTCTATGCTCTGGTAACCTCTAGGTTAGATTACTTCAATGTAGCATATGTGGAGCTACCTTTGAAGATGGTTTGGAAACTGCAGCTGGTACAGAAATTGTCCGCCAGATTGTTGACCAGAAACAAGGCAGTCTAAACATTAATACTAATTCTGGCGTGAGTGCACCGGCTTCCAGTGAATTTCAATGCTCAATTCAAGGTATTGGTTTTGACCTTTAAAGCCTTATGCTGCTCAAGATCCCAATACCTCAAGGACTACCACTCTCCACATGAACCATGTGGTCATCCTCCTCCTTCAGGCAGTTGCTTAGGGCGTTGACCTGAGTAAACACCACCTTAGTGATGGCTCTTCACTTATGGAGCACTCTTCCCAGGGAGGCATACCTGGCAACCTCATTATCTACCTTTAGGGGCCAGGCAAAAACATTTCTTTTTCACCAACCTTTAATCTTCTGTGGCCTGCTTCAGTGGATGGGATGTCTTGAGTCCTGCCTAATTGTAAATCTGAATTTGTTTTTATATTTTACTCTGTCTTAGTTTTACTTTGGTTTTAATATTTGTTCTTTCTCTGTAAGTCACTTTTGGTTACAGTGGTACCTCGGGTTACAGACGCTTCAGGTTACAGGCTCCACTAACCCAGAAATAGTACCTTGGGTTAAGAACTTTGTTTCAGGATGAGAACAGAAATCACGCGGTGGCGGGGCGGCGGCAGTGGGAGGCCCCATTAGCTAAAGGTTAAGAACAGTTTCAGGTTAAGAACGGACCTCTAGAATGAAATAAGTTCTTAACCTGAGGTACCACTGTACTTTTTTTAAAGAAAAAAGAAAAAAGTGACTTATTTTAAGATTTTTGCAAAATCAAGTCATGAAAAATAGAGGACTGTTATGAGGCATTTGTTTGTTTTTTTAAATAATATTTATTACTTTTATAGATTACAAAAAGAGAAAAAGAACAAGAAAGAAAAAACAGAAAAGGAAAAAAAAAAGAAAAGAGAAAAGAAAAAACAAAAAACAATACAATATATAGACAATACAAAACACACCCTAAACTCAAAACTAAACACATTAAACTAAACTAAACAAACCCCACTCCCTAGCCTTAACCCTAAATGAAACAAAACAAAAGCAATTTAAAAACATACATCATCTCTTTTCCATACTCTATCTTTCATTCCCTTGTTTCCTCGACCTCCTCTCACCTCCCTTTTTGTATTCCACTTCTATTAATTGTTTCAGCAAATCCTTTCCATCTTTCTTCATTTTCTGTAATATTGTAAATAACGTATTTTTTAACCTTATTTTCCATTAAAACTAAAATACTTATATATGCTTAACTCCTTATAACATTTCTACTAAGCCCATAAAAAATAAAAAATACAAAAAATAATTCCACCATTTTTCTATCACTCATTAGTTTTACCATAAGTCTATATATAAACTTTAAATTTTCCAATCTTCTTCCACCATCTCCTCTTCCAGGTTTCGGATTCTGCCAGTCCTTTCCGTTAGCTCCATAAAGTCTATCAACCTGGTGATCTTATGTCCGAGGCTCTTAACTCTTTTCCAAGTCCCTTCTGCAGGTCTTCTTCATTTTCTTTAATGCTAAAAAGCAAATCTCGGGGAAACTCCAACCTGTCAATCCTTTTCTTCCTTCTGAACAAATCAGCTGAATTTCCATAGTTAAATCTACAGTCCATAAAGTATTTCAGGGCATATTTCAGGATTCCTCCAAGTCCAAAGGCCCCCAAAACTTCAATCTCCTCCAGGCCCGAGTCCATGTCCCAAAAGTCAATTAATCCCTGCATAGAGGGCTCTTTCCAACTTTCCTCCTTTAATCCAAACCGGGATCCATTCCTCAGAGTCTGACTTTTCCTAGATTCAATCATAAAAGGCCTCAACTTATAATCCTCAATTTGCTTCTGTAAAGCCACAGATCTCACTTGTATTATTTTATGTTCAACAACGGCAGCATTCTCCTTCTCCTTCTCCTCCACCATTTGTCCTGCCAAAATGGATTCCTGTACCAAGTCCTGAATTATTTCTGTGTTGGTGTTCGCTTTTTGACTCAAATTGGTCACTTTCTGTTCCAAATTATCAACTTTAAAAGTCATGTCATCCATCTTCTTGTGAAGTTGTCCCAGCGAACAGCTTATCTTACATAAAACAGTCACAATGGCCTCTCCTGTCAACATTTTTAAATGGTCCAAGGTCGCCTCTGGTTCTCAGAATCCTTATCTGCAGCTGGGAATCCCCCAGTTACACTCCTGTTACAGTTTCAAAAGCTCCCTCTAGAGGGAAACAGTCTCCACTTGTATCAGTTCTTTCAGGCACAACTCAGGCATTAAAGATAAATTTTCAGTTACTTTTCTTCTTTTTTAAGCGCAGAAAAGGACAATGGAAACAGTATCTTACTCTTATTTACTCTTATTTAGCTAGCTGTCAAATCCGTTCTGTCAAATGCACTCTCTCCAAACGTCATCTGGCAGCCCGTTCCCAGGTTCAGAGCAGTGGTAATTTAATTTTTCACTCTCTCCTGCAGGCTCACTAGATCCAAAATTTCCCCCTCTTCTCCTGCTTCCAAGGGGGGTTTTGTATTTTAAACCAGTGGAAATTTAATCCTTTGCCAAAAGCTTTCAAAGGCTTTAACTTGTAACGTCTTTGCTTCAGTCTATTTACAAAAACGGGAGGCGGACTTCCTATTTACAACCTTCCTGTTTCAATGCCAAATTAAGGTATTTAAAAATCCAATTTTTCGTTTTACTCACGCGTAGTTGTTTAAAATCCAATTGTCCACAGGAAAAAGTCAGCGCTCTCCGGCAACAGCAATGCGGCTTCACTCCGTGAAAGAAGCAGTCGATTCAAAGCACTGCGCCACTCACCCCACGTCGCTCTGGACCCCCAAAACAGGGTTTCCCCGCGAGTAGGGGAGGCGCAAAAGGTGCCAGCCGAATCCCAGGTTCACAAGCTTCTCCCGCTTGTGATTTCAATGGGTCTCCACCTTCGCCGTGGCGGTCAGACCCTGTTTTTCACGGAGCAAGTTCCTCCCGAACGGAGGAGCTCCGCCATTGCCGGAGGCGCCAACCCGGAAGTCTGTTATGAGGCATTTGCATCCGTTTGCTTTTGCAATGTGAACAAAGGTTAGGGTTTGCAGGAGTTTCTTTATTTGTTTTCTTTCACTTATACTTGAGGGTGCATGAAGGGTTTTGCATCTAGTATAAGTGGGCCTCTCATAAATTGGGAATTTTGTATCCTAAAATTATTTTCCTGATATCATTGGAGGTTTCCTGAAATCACAAGCATCATCAAATATAATTGATATGCTTCTTCTATGACAAGCCAGCATGGAGTTGTAGTCCAGAATATCTGAAGAGCAGCACCTTGGCTACCCCCGTTCTGTGAGCTTCAGTTTGTAACTTGTAGAGAAATGGGCACCATTATTTATTGTGTGATGCAAGCCTTGCTGTGGAAAACATTCATTATCATTCCATGACTCTGTAATACCTTTTACATCTTTCAAAATTAAGAATTACCATACACTCCTGCAACCTTTTAATTGGTTCATTTAGTCAACTAAACTTTAATTGCTGGGACTGTCAACAAGGAGGGAAAATGGTGAGACTTCAGACTCCTGAAGGGAGTCCCACTGCACAGGTTATGCTGATGTTTTTGTACCATCCTGGACCAAAGAATTAAAATGGAAGCATAAAGATTCATTTTCCTTCTAACCTGTATCTAAAACTGGGAGAGAATTCACAATTATGAATTAATTCACATTTGACAGAATCTGCCTGGCATACATAGTATTTCCTTTGGCATTTAAAAGGTCCCCCTGATAGTTTCTTCCTTTTCAACTTACACGTGTCTGTCCCTTTATGCTGCCTTTTATCTCCCCTGTCCCACATTAGCACACGCAGAGGAAACTATGGAATTGGAGGTGTGTGTCTGAAAGGCCTGAGAGCAATTCATTCCAAATCTTGCTTTGAATCTTGAAAGGCAGCTGAGTAAATCTTTAGGTATACTCTGCTACAGAGTGGATCAGTATTTGACAAGGTTAGAAGGATTTTGGTATCATCCTACAATGCAGTGTCTACCAAAACTACAGATGGTTTGTAAATTGCAGAGATTCAGGTAATTGGTGATAAAAGCCCCTGTATTTGCAAATACAGTAATGAAACGTATCGAGTAAAGAAAATGTTGAGCAGCTGTAGAAAGCCTCCATGTTTCTAGGTGTTTCTGGCTGAATATACAAAAGAAATGCTCTTTCTTCTATTAGATATTTTTAATGTGTCATTTCTTGCTGTAAAGGATTGACAGATGATGTTTATCAGTTTATGTATTTATTTCAAATCCTTCTCTTGGCTGAACCTTATTTATCCAAAGATAAAGTGTAGAAGTCTGGCTTCACGCAACTCTGTAGGGCCCCTGAATTATGTCAGGTCCTTTTTCTGGACCTGCTATAATATGGGTTAATTTCCAGAGGGGTAGTTTTGTGGGTGTGTTGGTGCGTGGGTGTGGGTGTTGCAGCAAAATCATGCCTTAAGAAACTTTCTTGTAGCATAGGCTTTCATAGACTAGAATCCTGTTTACTAAAAGCATTTTGGGTTAAGCTGATGGTAGAAACAAGTTGTGTTGGGTAGCTTCTACAGTACAAGGGTGGCAATTGTGAGCAAACTATTTTGGCACCCTGATTATGTAAACAAGTCTTGGAGCTACTTTTGTGCAGTCTAATGTAATTTGGAATTTACTTTCTCATCCTATCTGCATCTTCTTAGCACGTTCCTTGCCAGTTGTTGGTTCTGAAGAATCCATTTAGATCTGGGTACTGCAATACAGCAGCATGCAGAGCGACATGTAGCTTCACTTCCTGCCTTATTCATCAATGCACTCTGCACTTGTATACCTATTACAGTGGTACCTCAGGTTACATACGCTTCAGGTTACATACGCTTCAGGTTACAGACTCTGCTAACCCAGAAATATTGCTTCAGGTTAAGAACTTTGCTTCAGGATGAGAACAGAAATCGTGTTCCGGCGGCGTGGCGGTAGCAGGAGGCCCCATTAGCTAAAGTGGTGCTTCAGATTAAGAACAGTTTCAGGTTAAGTACGGACCTCCGGAACGAATTAAGTACTTTAGGTACCACTGTATAATTAAATAAAGGCTATTAAGAACTTCTGCTTAGGTAGATTTGAAGACAAAATATACAAAATGTGGGGTTTTGTGTGGGTTTCTTTTAAAAAATAGAAGCAGGAATTATAATCTTCACATAGAAAACTTGACTATTCTATATTTTAGGTTTATCTGAACTTTATATTTTTGCAAAAGTATAATTTTATGTTGCTCTGGCCAATGTCCAAAGCAATGAAAACATCTACCAACATTATATTGTAAATATATATGTGTGTGTGTGTGTGTGTTGGGGGGAGAGAGAGAGAGAGAGAGAGAGAGAATTTGAAGGAGACTACACTGTCCGGCATTTTATTTGCAAACCCACTTTCCAGGTTTGCTATCTTATACAGGCTCCTGTTAAGATTATACCCGAGGTGGAAAGAAACCGTGCATTTATTTTTCACTAAATAAATTAGAAGGACTGACACCCCAATCTTAAACAAGTTTATGCAGAAGTAAGTTCAGCTTTCTCAACTGGGACTCTGCTAGGTAAATATGGCTGTGGATACGATCATATATGTACACATTGGGAGTAATCCCCATTAAATACAGTGAAATGGGGTACTTCCAGGTGGGAGCTTAATTTGCCATTGGAAACCGTCCCCTCTATGTGTTTTAATTGTATTGTTTATTTTTAGTTTTAAGCATATGTAATCCTGCCCTGGGACATTCAGGTGAAGGGCGGATTATAAATATGAATAAATGAACCTGTGGCCTGCCAAATGGATGTTGTCAGCATAGCCAGTGGCCTGGGATGATGGGATTTGGAG